GTCTGGGGGGAAACACGTGGTGGTCCAAAACGCTGCCGGCCACCCAGTGGCTTGTGTTATTCTTGTCTATTTTATCGCACAATCAGCCATTATGGAAACTCCAAAAAAATATATATATATATGTATATACATATATATATATATATATATATATATATATATATATATATATATATATATATATATATATGTATATATGTATCTCTTCGAGAAAAATATGTATATGTATCTCTTCGATAATATACATAATTGATAAGAGATTAATTAACCCCACGCGATGTCCGTCCTATGTATGTATCAATGCGTTTTCAACACGCGTGGAAAAAAAATTAAAGTGTGATTTTAATTACAATTTAATATCTACATATCGTATTTGATATCGAGATATTAATTTAATCGAACTAAATTAAGTAACTAAATTAAGTAACTTGGTAACGGCAGAGATTTGATGTACTTTCCAATAATAATTTCAATAATTTTGAAGAAGACTCGATACTTTTATCATAAACTTTTTAGTTCACGCTGTTCAAAAATTTATTAAGCACTTTCGACTGGATATTTGATTAGATATACTTATTTATTTTTTACTCACTCAGAAACCTCTAACTGTGAGAAGAATCTAGTTTGACAAGTAACGGTCGAGGTACCAAACGTATAAGAACATATTTCACATTGCGGGCCACAGTTCCAATAAAAAAAATTTCTTTCTTTTGTGTTTAAATGCACTTTCGTTGTATTTGCAAAAATAATATTCTCACGTTCGACATTCAATTCAAAGATTCCTTTCAAAGAAGAAATATAAATTTCCCAAATTTCTCAAACTACAAGCTTTTTTGTGATCCACACACGCGAGGAAACTCTTATTCATACATATTATCGTCATATTATCGTCTTTCATATCACGAGAATTGTATTTGTTCAATATCATACCCGAGATAAAGCGACATCGATATTGAGCATGACGAATCAAGTAAATCGAGTCAAGTGATCGCGACAAAATCAAATTTCGACGTATCACATAGCTGAAACGTCGACAAGTTTGTCTCTTCGATCGTGAACTTTTTCAGTAGAGTTGTACGAAATATAATCACGCGCTAGAAGAATCCCTTCTGTCCGCGTTTATAGCGGCTTCGCAGCCTGGTGCGCAGCAACGGCGCGAGAGAGGTCAGAGTCCGGAGTGAGCGACAAAATTGCGAGGGGAATCGTTCGGCGGGAACGAGCGACAGAGACGGGAGAAGAGAGCTGGAGGGCTCGCCCAGGGTGGCAGCAACCAATGCTTGCTTGTGACGGCGAGTGATGATACTGGCAATGGTGTGGTAACGGACGCGGTTGGTAACGGACAGTTTATGATATTTTGAATCACATTTGCACTCGGTGCGATTATCTAAAGTTATCGAAAAAAAAAAAAAAAAAAAAATCCAAAGATCCAGATACAACTGCGCACTGTCTGCGCGCGCTTATTATTTCGAACTCTTATTGATATTTTGATCTTCTTCAAACACGAAATAATCGGGCTTCTTTGAAAATAATATTGTACAAATAATTACGATAAGTAGTACAAGTTGGAATGTTCGATATAATTAGTCTCACCGAGGAAAGGAAATTCGATCTCAAACAAATTGAGATAAAGAACTTATTTTAAGTAATCTTAAAAGTACATGTATAAATATTTAAGAAAAAAAAAAACTATCTATTCTATGGAATTTCTTATCTCGCTGACTACTAAGCTATGTCTTCCGGATTTTTTTTAAACACAACAGAACAGATAGGAAAACGATTCGTTTATTGTTGTAATAGGTCCTACTTGTATTTGATTTTCTTTAGCTATTTGAAGTGTGAGAAAGCACAAATATAGATCTTTCTGCGATAAAAAAAAAAATATTTGACGACTCGTAAGATTCCTCGCAGAACAATTATAGATCTTTTTGTTTTTTTCAAAATTATTAGAATTACCCGGAGTTGAATGCAAATCCGATGAAGTTTTTTCGTACGACAGAAATCGAGCTTAAACACTCAGAGCAGATAGCTCTGAGCGTTGATGCGAGTTTCCGCCATGGTGGTACCGTCACGCACCCCCATCGATACGTGCTGTACAACTACACGACCATGAAGTACACACACACGCACGCATCTTGATGTCCATGGTTGAAAGAGCCGTGCGCGCAAACACACACGCACGCACGCACACGTACATACATACATACACAGTGGCCGCAGAAGTTCTCATAAACCAACATCTGGTTCCTCGCCCGAGGGACTCACGAGGACAAAGAAGACCTTCCCTTTTTCTTTTCGAAGGCCTTGGAGTTGGATTATATGTCCTACGCACTTTCTTTCGGACAAGCGACCGCAAGTTCCGCAAGTTCTGTCAAAAAATTGTCGTTCGGAAATACGCGCGGGAACAATGCTGTAGGAAAAGAGAAGCGTGTTCGTACGAATCGCGCGATTGAAAATACGTCGAAAATACGCAACCTACAAAAGTCATTTAATACAATTCTAAAGTTTGTTCTCTTCACGCTTCTTCATGTTTCATCTAAAGAGATTTATCTATAATGAAATATACACACACACACACACACATCCTATTTATAGATTCCAATTATATGCGCATATTTAAATTTAATTCTAATTAAATATTACAAATCTAATTTTTAAATTAATTTGTAGAGCAAAGCTGTTTTTTTTTTCTTCTCTCTTCGTAGAGAATAGATTTTTGTTTTTGAGAACGCGCAGTGGCGAACGCGAGAATTCGAACGGGAAAAGAATTCGAAGGCGTGGACAGAGTCGGAGAAATAATCGAGTCGAAGGACTGAATCAAGCTCTCTCCCAGTCGGTACCGTGGCACACAGGCGGTGACTGCACATAACGACCCTTGCGGTACCGTTTCTATGGTACCGTTCGCGGGGATTAACGCCCCTCCGCGTCATCGCAGACGCTCCACTTTCACCCGGTTGCTGCTGCCGCTGCTGTTACCGCCACCGCCGCCACTGTCGCCGACGCTAACGCCGCTCCAGGGTGAGATCAGCCTTGGCCTGAGAACCCGTGGAAACTGGATAGCCTTCCCATAAAACACGCGCGCGCATATATTGGTCGAGCGTGTATTATAATTATACCGGGATCTTGCACGTGTGTGTGTATGCGCGCGCGGGGAGAGCACTCGGAAAAACCTTGCTCGTCGATCCTATCGATCCGATCAATCTCACCTTCGACACGGAAGGGTAGCTTCTTTTAGAAACCGTCTCGAAGATACAAAGCATACATGTAGAATCACGAAGGTGGAGAAGGGAATTAAATATTTGAAAAAATTGAAAAAATAAATTCAATACAATAAAAAAAAGCAAGCTTTTTTTTGTATAGCTGTGCTATACAAACGAACATATATATATATTATTTTCGCGAATACATTATAAAACATCGTCTATTTTCTTGACGGAATAGAAAAACTTTTCAACTCTGTGTATTTTTCAAATAAGAATTAAACAAGATAAATTTAACCACGAAATGTTTACACTTAATCTCGATAAATATAGCTTTTATCGTCGGTTCAGGTATACTTTTTTTTTTCTCAATATATTGACGGCAATGCACGGTAAGATCGAGGTAATGTCTTGATACTGATATCATAAACGCGTAAATACGAGAGCAAGTTTACACTTAACGCCATGAGCAACATACCGTTTGCCTGCAAAAATCCGTCGTGAATAATATTCACCGTATTTGTTACGAAACATTAGAGGACAAGCTGTAGAAATTGTTTTTCGAAATTGCAATTTTTCTCACACTCGGTAACACAAATTCGGAAAACAACCAGCTTTCTCTCAAAGTTATGTTTGTTTTTTTTTTTTTATTTTTGTAACTTCTAAACCACTTGTCCACAAAAAGTTTTTTGTTTTTTTTAAGAAAACAATTTGTAATCGAAACAATTATTATCTAAATTTTTTTTCATAATTTACTTAAAATGTTTCGCAACGATAATGAAAAATTGCATTGAGAAATTGCATTTTTTATAATGTAACGTTACATGAACACGAGTCGAGGTGGAAGGGGGTAAAGTATTTACGAAGCAAAACACGGAAAAATAAGAGACTCTTTTGTAGGTAAACGTGGAGAGAAAAAGACAGAGGTTGTGACGAAGAAGAGAGGACGCGTTGCAGAAATAGTCATCTTGTTATCGACACTACCGGTTGCTTATCGTCCCACGGTCAATATTTCGTTCCCTCCGCTCTCTTTTTTTTCCTCTTCCATCGTCTCTCTTCGACTCTTCTCTGTCTCTCCACCCCGATATATACCCAACGTCGTTAGCGCGCATTTGCGCGCCCGTCAGCGTACTCGCCACTTATCCCGGTTTTATCGGCCGATAACACCAATCTCGACCCATCATACAGGAGACGGTCATCGAAGGAAAACGGGAGTGTATGTACATTTTCTATGTCAAAAAATATCTTCTAGCGAGCGAAACTTGACGCATCGTTACACATCGATAAGAATGCGCCATCTAATGGTGTCAAATTCGCAGAATTAAAAAAAAAAAAAAAACCCATAAATTACATTACTATTTGATGAGCTTACGCGAGCTTAAAACGTATTTACATTCTTCAATATTTCTGAAATTTCCATCTATATTCTGTGTAAATATCAAAAATTTCACCTAGTTTTTCGCATTCTGTTGCAATCAGTGTAAATTGCAATTATTCAATTATCGTTTAAACGGAAAGGTAAATAAAAATTGCAATAATTTTTATCGCTAGTTTTGTTGTTTTCTCGCATGCAGCTCTATTTTTCAATTTGCACAAACTTAATAAAATTTGACAAATGATAATACCGCGCAGATAACAAAATCCTATATTTTAAGAAGAACAAATATTAAACGGGCGACTTTAATGGTTGCGTTTCGACGTTTTTTGTGCGACTTGCGCAAATTTATATTCGTACGCAGCTGTTCGATCATGTTTTCAATTTACGCAACGTGATTAACAATTAATTATAAATACGGTACTCACCATTTAATGCTCTTCTTTATTATGTTGCTGACGACCTTTTGCGACTTCCTGGATGATATAACAGGAACGTCGGTGAACTTCCTTGATTTTGGTTTTTCCTCTCCGGAATTCTTCTCGTAAATTTGTCGCTTGCGTTTTGTCTTGACGTCGTCGTTGTCGTCTTCAGCGATCACTTTCACCGAATTCTCGATCCATTCCACCACATGATCCTCTTGATCGGCCGACAACGCCGAATCACCTCCTAGTTCTTCTTCGTTTATCAGCTCGCTAACGGCGGTTGGAGGCCCAACGATTCCGACTTCCGAACTTTCTTTTGCCTTCTTGGAAGATTCCGCAGAAGTTTCCTTGCCTTCTGCGTTCTCTTCAGTAGCGGATTGGTTCCTATCATCCTCTGCATCGTCTCTTCCAACAGATTCTTCGTTTGTTACAGTCTTCTGTTCTTTTCTGTCGTTTTCATCGTCAGTCGCAGACTCGCTAACAGGCCTTTGGATCATCTGCATGCGTAAATCCTCGTGTACGACCTTCAAGATCTCGTCCAATCTTTCGTCAACCTCAGGAAATGCTGCCGTATTGTTGAGATATTCTCCGTCTTCGTCGCTGATAGATTTTGGTTTTGCAGAACTGAATTCTTCGGAACTGTTCTTCTTGGTCTCTGGTTTGATCATCTTGGAAGCTTCTTCTTTTTCTTCTTCTTCTTCTTCAAAATCAGTTTTCTTCTGAGGATCTCCGTTGCAATCTGATGTACAAGTTTCTTGGAGTTTTTGTTTGGAGTCATGTACATCTGCAGATTGTACATCTTTTTCTCTTTCAGAAGTGGTGTTTTCAGCTTCTTTAGAAATTTTATCGGTGTCGAGTAGTGGTTCCTGCTTCCCCTTCTCATTACAGACAACTGTTTTATTGGCTGCAGATGTTGTCTCGGACAATTCATCCTTATCTGCAGAAGGCGTAGAGCCTTCTGTGATATTTTTTGCCATATTATCAAATATGCTCAAAGAAAATCAGTTTTCAAACATCTTAACTTCAAAACTCAAATAACAACTTCCTAATATGTATACAAAACTTTATGTTGTTACCATATGAGTATCGAACATACTGTGCGGAGTGGAAAGTGTCTGATATTTTCCATAAGCTTTTCTTCTAGTTTCACTCTTTGGCTTGTTTCCTGCAATAAAGCGAAAACACTTTTAAAAATTAGATCGGCACACAAGTTATGATACAAAAATATTTCTTAAAAATATAAATCCCATTGTTGATTACACGTTGAGATTGTTTTGACACTGTTGCAAAAACAAATATCACTTTTGTGTCGAAAATAAATATACACAGAAGTATTTAGAACAACGGAGGATCGGAAAATGATTGTTTTTTTTATCGATAAAGTCGTTCTCTGCGCCATCGAGCGAATGCTGCGAAGTTGGGAAGTGTCTCGCGTCGTGCATTGCACAATTCAATTTACCGCACAATTTCATACAAAATGCTGACATTATTCATCAGTTTCGCACTATGTTGACCGCATTAACAATGCAAAAGACATTCGCCGCCGCGCGACACAAAGAAAAACGTTGCGCAACATCGTTTCGTGACCCGACAGTTCAAAACCGACGCATAAGGGGACACGTTCAAACAAACGACACGTTCAATGAACATTGATCGTCATACGGACTCTATTTGCACGTTCCATTAAAATATGAGAAGAATCCCTCTTCTCCGCCGCAAAAAATGATGTCCCAGTAAAGCTGTCACCATTCTCGCGGGGGGGAAGAAGGGAGAGAGAAAAAAACAACTGCTTCTTTTACCCACTAGCGCGATATTCATTTAGGGAGTAACGCAACGACCTGTCATCCCTGTGTCGCAAGTGAATTCATGTTTTTTTCTCAATCGTTCGCTCTCACAGAGAGAGACAGAGAGAGAAAGAGAGAGAGAAAAATTTCAGAATATATCTCGGACAATTTGTCACTCCCGTAAACGAGAAATTCGTCTTACACGTACGTCTCGAAAATTTTTTTTTTTCAATCGCGAGAAGATTGCCGCATCGCAGCAGCGTCGCGCGGTCTCTCGCTCAATAAGTCTGCTGTTCCTTTTGAGATTATTTTTTTTTTTTCCAATTGCACTTACGATATCGACGCAATTCCAGGAGCGAGATTCGACCTCGAACTCCAATCAACGTCGCGACACAATTCATACAACATTTACGATCACACACGATCGCTCTGCGGAGGTGCTTGTTTTTTTTTTTTTTTTGCTTCGCAGAGATGAGCAAAACGAGAGACACAGCGCGAACGCGCTTAACCTCACTTTGTCGCGCGGACTCCCCTTACGAGATGATGTCTCTCGGTGTCGCGACGACAATCGCGATGGGACGCGACAACGAAAACGCCGACGTGCGACATACGGAAAGATTCGAAATGAGACCTCCCCACGTACCTAATGTAGCTTCGGGATTCTCTTCTGTTGCGGAGAATGCGCGGCGGCGGTGGCGGCGGCGGCGGCGGCGACAACGACGACGACGACGAGTTCCGGAGCAGAGCTTGTCCAGAGCTTGCGAAAAGTCGCTCGGCGCGACGAAGACAGCTCTCGAGTCGGCGTCGAAAAAGACTATGTGTGCGCGCGCGAGCGATTGTCAGCGTGAGAGGAGAGAGACACGCGAACGCGATCTTCTCGCGAAAAAAATTCCACGACGCCGGAGAAATACGAGAGAGTACGCACGAATACGTGCACACGCAAATCACACATACATACATACATACACACACATTACATATATATGCGCGCAAAGAAAACGCAATCCGACTTGAGGCTAGTGACCTCTATGCGCCGTTCTAATCAACCAGTGCTACCAACCCGACTAGGGAAACGGGAGTTGGTCGGGATGCGCGCGCCGCGCGGCGATTCTGTTGCGTCGAATTCGCGTTAATGGTCAACAATTCGGTCGATTTTCGCGAAGGTTGCACGAAACAATCGAGCGCGCGAACAACAATATAGAAACATTTGACGCGGTCACATTTGCGTGACCTTCAGATATTTGATTGTAGTTCGTATCCCCTTCGAAATCAATAATATATCAAACTCTGCTCGAAACACGATACGAGTTAACTCGGAATAGATACGCGGAATAGATACGCTTGTGTATACGAGATTTTACAGCGAATCGTTAGCGGCATTCGCGAATACGCGAGCAAGAAGATTCAAAAACATTAGAAGATACGAGAACATTCTAAGCAGAGAAATATCTAAATCCACAGAAAAGAGAAAACTTACTTACATATATGCGCGTAGAAGAAGATCAGTGACGTGACCTTTAGCGACTCTTATCGATCGAATTCTCGATACTTCGATAAATCGAAACGTGCAAAATGGTCGCCAGCTGGCGCCGCGCGGCGCGGTCACACCGGGGTTTTTTTTATTCCTCGCACTTGTTGCGAGAATATTTCCGCGAGTTTTTTTATTCGCGAATATTTCTCGCCGCGCGGGTAAAAACAACATATCGCGCGAGTTTATATAAAACTAGTTAGTCGCGAACGTATTGTTTTCGAACGTTGTTGTTTTGCTCATGCGGTTCTCGTCTGAAGTGTTTTCGTTCGCGTGATATCGCACGCGCACGTGTCGTGTTTTCCGTGCGCGAACGTGGTATTGCAACGAGGTAGGCGCGAATTGAATCGAACAGAACGAGAGAAAGAGAAAGAAATCGAATTCAGCTTGGTCAACGCTTGGTCGGAACGAAGTTCGAGGAAACAACTAGGATGTACAGGGCGATGCAAAGCGGGATTTTGAATTGAAGGAGCGTCCATCTTGAAACGTCGAGTTATAAACACACAATTATCTCTACGACGATCTTCGAAAATGCAGGTAACGACGCTAGCGAGCGCATAAAAGAGCGTGTTGGTTGATAATTATTTTTGTCGTCCAAGTAAGTTTTACGAGTTTTGTCTTCTTTTTTCCGCTGTCGACACTCGCGCGCGATTTTATGGTTTCTTTTTTACGACATCTGTCGTTAATCACTCGCGCTGTTTTTACGAAGTGGTATGTGCGATCGTAAAAAACAATTACATGAAATAAACAAGTAATGTCGAGGTGAGAGAGTGGGGAGACACTCTCGAGAGAACTTACGTCTAAGACGATAAGAGACACGGATCTACGATGTTGTTGTATTATATTTACAGATTATTCGTAAATTTATAGTCAATAGTAATTATATATATAATATGTATATATATATATATATATATGTATGTATATATCAACAAAATAATATTTTATGGTCACATATTCTTACGTCTTGCTAATAAAATCTAGAGACTAAACAGTCACAGAATTTCGATTTCAGCTAAAAAGTTTTGGTGACACGCCTAGCTTGCGGGATCGTCCCCATCTCGCGCGATCCGCGCGCTCGCTTTCTATCTAACAATAAATAAACAAATACAAGTGTTCTATACATTCCACACGCGTGCTCATTCCGCGCGCTAGGAGCGATATCATTTTTTTTCTTTTTTTTTTTTTTTTATATATATATATGTATATTATTCCACGCCACGATCGCAGATAAAAACGAGTACACGAGTATGTACGGTTGACTGACGGCTGTTCTTTCACAAGAATTCTGAAACGAGAGAACTCTCTGCGAGTCGCAATATAAACAAATATAAAACTCGCGACGATTATCGGGAACGATCGGTTCAGCAACACAAGAAGTCTTTTGCATACAAAACAAAAACCATTTTTTTTTTTCGAACAATGCGAACGAAATAAATGATGAAAATGACGGCGATATCTAACGCGCAATATCTCTTAACACGCATTCCCCGTCTCTGTGTACGTTATATGCAATGTATTACGTATTACTCTTACGGTGGGTCACTATAATCTGATCTCTTATAATAAGTCAGCCTTGACACTTCGGACTTCTGCAATTAAAAACTTCTTTGCGAATTGGAACGAGGTGAAGGCGTATACGTATATATTTAAACTGTCGCCGTTTATACACCGCGAGCGTTATATTTAAAATAATTTGGTTTTTTTTTTTTCAATGCCACACAGTGTCCCATTCGGACTTGAAATAGTCTTCAACACAGTGTTATAACGCGTATCGCCTTACTGATGGCGAAACGGGGTCGTTGTCTTTGTTTTTTACCGCGGCTTGTCGTCGCCGTCGTGTCGTCATCGTGTGATTGTCGTAGGTGTGTACACGTTAAAAGAGCCACGATGGCTCCTAACGAGGTCGCCGCGAATAACGCAGCTAAATAACCGCATGCGACCGTTTCCGTCCCGGAATTGGAACGGGCGAAACGGCGTCTGGACGATCGCCTCCGCATTTTATCTGCTATCGTGGCGCAACCGGTATGTGGCATAATCGAATATCAAAATGCGTCTTGCACATTGCCGCCTTGTTTACGCTCGAGGGATCGGTTACGCTTCGGTTTCGTCGAACAGATAAGAACAATTAGTCCCGGCGACGCCTCAACGGCGACAAACCGGTGTAAATAATCTGTTTCTTCTCTACATCGTGACGATGCAAATAAAAGAAAAAAAAAAAAAATACGGAAGGTTCGACATTAATCACATCGACATTATTTACACTCGGCAAAAATCGATGCTCGGTTATTGATGGACTTGGTCGATTATCAGACAATTCGCTTTTTTTTTTCGCAATAGGTACATATATCGTAGCCCTGACCACACAATATCTGTACAATAGCGGGAAAGACAATTACTCATGTTTGATTAATCATGATTGATGATGTCGTGAACGACATCAACGTGACTGCCAATAACACGACTTCGGTTATCGACGCTTTTAATTAATCAAACAGAGTTCATACTGTTTCTCTCATTCATAACTAGTACGGTATACGCACATAGGCGCGGAGAAAAAGAATCTTCTCGTCGCTCTCTCATCGCCGAGTGTCTTCCGCGCCAAATTGTCCAGATCATACGAAACAGAGCGAGCAAACAACAAGTACTTCACATTATTTTGTCACTTCTCTAGAAAGTGAAAAAAAAAAAAAACAAATAAAAAATCTTAACGTAATCTTTTTTTCTTTGATATCGCATTTAAGTTTCTTCGCTCGAGATACGCAAGTTACGCTGGGAGGGGACACGCGTGATTCGGAACTATGGATTGTTTTGCTTCGCTGATTCGCGTCGGAGCGACTAAAAGACCAAAGATCTCTCCGCGAGCACAACATGAGAAAAAACATCACTCGAGTTCGAAGCCAGGAATTGTTTTCGCCGTGGTTTTCAAGCATCGGATGTCGACCGATAATCGGTATCGCGCGGCCGCAGTATCCCGTTTACATATTCGTACCGCGTGTTTGACGTGGACACGAGCACATGTCTGTTTCGTGTATGTATAAAATACCTTTTTCCCTACCTAAATAGACTATCTACACGCTCTATCATGGCCTTCCTCGCCATTCCTTTTCTCCCCGCAACATTCGCGTTTTTTTTTTTTTTTTTTTTTCAAATAGCACCCATTCACGTCACGCACGTTTTCGTCTTTTTTTTTTCTCTTTTTATCGCGTGTCTCAGTCCTTTGCCTCCATGAATATTCCGATACGCGATATATGGAACGAGATATTTTTATATACACGTAAACGAAGAGTGTAATATTTTTATGGGAATTATTTTGACATTTCTCAAACGAAGGAAACGCAATAACGCACGATCAATGTGCTGTCGTCAAGTTTACGACAACAAAAATTGTTCATTCTACAAACATGACATGTGCGAACAAAAAATTTGTGTATACTTGTTCCGATATAATACAAAAGATAAAGTGTCCGATATGTTATTGTGTCTTAGAGATTTTTTGTGTTGTTCGATGACAAATGAGTTACCAATAGTACATCATGCAATATGTTTTCAATTATCTGTGACACTTGAAATTGAAAACGAACCGGAAACACGAACCGATTTTATTTAATTACTTGACGCGCGCGTATAACTTGGTGAACGCGCGATACTATGTATATCTAATATAAAAAACAAAAAGGAAAAAACAAATCGAGTTCGCGACGCGAGTTCACGCGATTACGTTCTAAACTTTGTTTTTCACATCATAAATTTTATCACTTTATCGTACGATTTATCACTTTTGTCGTACGATCGTAGAGAGTACTGTGTAACAGCGTGCGCAACTTTATTTCTAATTTTATCATTGTCCCAAAAACACGATTCGAGATGTTTTTCTCCAAACTTATTATCACACGAGATTTATGAAGAAAGTGATAATAAAAAATTGATAGCAAGCGAAAAAAGATTGCCGACACGCAGCAGTTAGCTGACAAATAACGATTTCGTTCTAAAGATCGTAGATAAAATTTCATATGTTCCGTGCGTACGTACGTTCTCAACAGGAGGCTTCATTCTCAAAGAAGATTTGCGAGAAAACCATAAATCGGCGTAATTATATCGAATATCGGAGCGCGAGGAGCCGAGAGACGCATGGATGTCGTTAATTATGCAGATGGAGAATGATCACACGCCGTCCGTGAATTACAATTGAGTCATTAGAGTCGTACTACTTAAATGTTATTCGATCGTGACGTATAATTTTCGTAAATTACTTACGATCGTAGTGACGAGATTTCGTCGTTGCGAGTAAACACAAGTAGTGTCACACGTGTTAATTACGTAATATAATTATGAAACACATTAAATTGATATAACAAGTTTGTGTATAAAGTAACAAGAGAGAACATACGGTAACGACCAACAACACAAGAACAAAAATGATCATTTTTACATCATACAAAAGAGAAAAGTCGAATAAAACAGTGCCGAATATTTTACTTCAATCTAAATAAAATGCATCACGGAAAAAAATTTTTGCTGAATAGTACAGAGATTAGTTGGTCAGCAAAACAAAATTTGCTGGACCTAATTAAATTTGTTGCTTTGCCAAAAACATTTTGTTAGCAAAACACAAAATTCGATAGACTTAGCAAATTATTCTCGCTAGCCATATAATAGCGAAATTTTTTTTTCCGTGATTATATCTCGATAGTATTTATTATCGCCAGAGAAAGAGAAAGAGCATCTGAAGATCTATAAAAATACACGTGTGACGCGCGAGAAAAATGTAAATTTTCAGTGCTTCTTCTGGCCGACAACAGCGCGTATCGTAATACACTCGCAAATTACAGAGGTAAATATAATCCTATTACGTACACACAGCGCAAAACAGCGGAATATTTCGAACTTTATACTTTAAACGTAAGAATGTAATTCTATTATGTCTAAAATCCTGTTACGAATTTAACTTGCGTATTAGTTCGTGGTATTAAAATTCTAATCAGCTTCCGCCGAATCAAGTTATCAGCATAAGCGATAAAAAACGCATTCGACGATGTAACCTCGTTTTTTTTAACGCAAATATTTTCGTCTGGTAATTATTCGAATGGAAATAAATTATCAATAATTAACAAAATCGCCTATACGTTCCTTACTGTTGAAGAAAAAATTTCTTTTATCGAAACAGATAACGTTACAAAACAGAGAGATCGAGTCTCATCGCAGTGTTTGTTTTATACACTTGTGTCAAGGATTTTTACGGGGTTGACGATAAGAGGAAACCACGAAGTGGTTATACTGTTAAAAAAAAAAAAAGCCGTGCAGTTTTACGTAACATCGACGAGTTGTCACGCGAGGAAACACGTTTTTTTATCATCGGCTGTATAAATTTAAATGTTAATAAATGATGCGCTATATCAAAGTTATAATTTGCGTTATTATAAAGTTGCGTAGTTCTTCACACATATGTTTTCTACGTTTGACCTGTACAGTTCATTTCTTTTGATACTAGTGACTGATCTTGTGACTTATCTTGACTCTGGATTATGAAGTTCTATATACGCAGATATGAGAATATATCCCCGATATACAGAAAAATATATATATATATATATTTTTTTTTTATTTTGACTTCGCTATAAGAAGTTTCGCAAAGTTTCTCAGTCATAGCACATCGTTTAATAATCTACGCTACTTAGTCTTATCGCTTACAACTTCCGCGCATGATTTTATCACATGATTTACTGCCTCTTCTTAGTAGTAGTAGTTTTATAAATGTTTCTCGAGTGTGATATAACGAGATTTGCGTACGTACACTCGATCTTTTTAACACGCCGTCCAGTCCCTCCCGCTTTACTTCGTTTTCTTTTACTTTGCTGACGATATAAAATATATAGAGCCCCGGTTACATACAAAAACATAAATAATATTCAGCTAAGTCTTAGGGTTGACGCGAGCCAAATGTGCCGAATGTGCGAATATATTTTTTCAAACGTGTAAATTAATACACATGAAAATTCAAAATTTAGCTGAACATTATCACGAGCTTTATAAAATTTGTTATAAATAATATATTTATATATTATATTCTACTATAAATTTATATAACATACATATACATGTTTAGAAAAAAAATATCTATATAAAGGTACGCATTATTACCCTATTAATATTAATTTTTTTTACAAATAATCAATTTATAATAATATAATTCTATTTTTGATAAAATGAGAAATCATTATCTTTATATTTTTGTTGTCAACTTGCAAAGTTTTAAAGAAAACAATTTAACGTTTACATTGCGCACAAATACACGGACGACTAATGACGGATCGAAAGAAAGAATGGCATCGAATCGGCCGCCTCGACTGAATATCACGAAAGGTTTGTTTGCGAAGTTCTGCGGTGCGATCATTCCGCGAAGATCTTCGCCGGCATGCTTTTCTTCATTCGCATTTCTCGACGAACAGCCGAAACCGCGTAAGAAGTGGCGTCGCGGCGTTCCTTGTCCCATCGCGTTCCTTTCTCCCGTAAAACGCTTCTTTCAGGCTGGACTTGCGGTCAAGGTCGAGATCACGATGATGATCAGGAGGCGAGAGTCGTCCTGTGCCAGGAAACGTGCTGCTGTTGCGCCTGCTGGTACTGTTGCTGCTGCTGCTGTTGGTGATGTTGTTGTCTCTTCTGGCTACAAACAGAACAACAAAAGTCGCGTTTCAATACTTCGATTGATGTTACATATGTGCTTTCACAAGGTAACACGCGAACGTTTTTTTCTCTCAGAAAAAAAAACAACCAGAAGAAGAGTCGCGATGATTGATTCGATCTATCTTTTGCGCGTAGGATAACATTGACGCGCGAGCGCCGCGATAATAGTATATATCGTGTTGTTGTCCAACAACCGAGCATCTTGATATTGTTCGCAAGAGCGACATTACATCGGTACCGAATTGTAATTACGGAATGCAAAGTTGCGTGTCGATTTAACGATGACAGTCCGATTTATATAACGACGTATTTCTGTATATTTTTGTTCCGCATCGCGCGCCGCGTCAATGTATATTACGGTATCCTTCTTTCTATATAAAAAATCCATGTGTACCGCAAAGTGCGCGTTTTGATATCGAATGTATCGCATCTATTGTTGTCTCTTTTTCGCGTTGGCGATTAGTTGGTTGATCGAGTCGAGTCGAGTCGAATCGAATCGGTAAGATCGAGAGAGTAAATAATGACAGAAAAGCGATTTTGACAGTTCGTCGTATACGTGGAGAAAATTAAAAACATGACTAAAGTAAAGTCACTTGACAGAAAAGAGTAGAAAAACAACATGTGACTATTTAAAGTAACGTGATTGTAATTTATATTATATATAACATTAAATAATATATATTATACATATAATTTATTATATATAATATACAATATAAAGTATAATATTATACTTTATATTGTATATTATATATATTATGTACATACTACCGTAAGGTCACTGACCTCGGCCGCGCGACCGTGGTGAGGGGGAGGGTCACTGACCCGGCCGCGCGACCGTGGTGGGGGGAGGTCACTGACCCGGCCGGGCGACCTTGGCAGGGCACTGACCTCGGCCGCGCGGCCTTGGCGGGATCATTGACCTCGGTCACGTGATTACGGTATATATATAGATGTGTGTGTGTGTGTATTATATATAGATAGATATAGAATATTATATATAATATATATAATATTCTCTGTTTTACTCTTGTCCTTGACATGTGACTTTAGTCACGTGTTGTTTTTCTATTCTCTCTGTTTTCTTTTATTTTTTGAGTTTGATTTTCATGCGTTATTTCTGACATGTCTCATATGTACATCATGTGTATTATATTGTTTGTAGGACGTATATATTAGCTGTCATTGTGGTGACAGGTTAAATTCACTCACACTACACGTTAAAATAAAAGCAACAATAGCGTGCGCGTAGCGCTCGCCTGTGTTGTGCTAGTATTACCGATAAATGACAATTATAAACCGGAACAAAATAACATCGTCATAAATAACATTTGTCATTACGTCAGAGTGGTATTTCGCGCGATGCTCAGAAGATTGAAAATATAATTTAGAAAACACACAATTTCACACACAACAAATTCGCATACTTTCGAAAAACACTGCTTTTTTTACTCGGTAGAATTTTATTGTTGTCGAAAGCGTGAACACACACGTTGTGCAACGAACGACTGGAACTCGTCCGCTATGACGAATCGCACAAGGCGGCTAATTATGTAATATTTTGAATAATTATTTTGCAAGATTAATTATTACAAGATATACCGCTCTCCGAGAAAAAGAAAGAGAGATGTGTGTGTGTGTCTTAAACGGATTGTAAAACTCATTAAAATATTTTTATCTTAACAGCTGCTGCGTAACGCGCGGACAACGTTGACGCAATCGCACCGTGTTGTAGTGTACCGGCGAGCCGCACCGTTGTCGGAGCGGCTCATCACGGTGCTACGTGCCGCACGCGTCTCGGCTGATCAATTAGGACACACCGCTTAATTAAGAGCACTTTTCCTACATCATAATGCAACGATGGGCAAAGGTAATCGGGACGATTACTCGCACGCGACTCGACGCTGAAAGTCGCGCGCCCGTTACGGCCTCCCCCGGCCGCACCGCCGACATATGGCGGATTCTCACGGCTTAAAACAAAATGCACGAAAGAAATATATATATATACATATATATAGTAGCGCGAAAAAGTAAAGTCATTCTTTCCGTTTGCTCCGTAAACGGAGAAAATATTGCGCCGACACAACATATTCGAAAGAAAAACGCGTTTCTCTCCCTTCTCCGTTGTTAAAAGAGCGCTTCTCTCATGACGGGAAATAATTGCGGTACGGTTTTAATACCTTTTTGTTCCGGTACACACAAATACACAATTTTCATCGTAATCATAATAATGTCCGCAAGATGATAGCTCACGTTCATTGCCATTCGGAGGTACCGTTAAGTGTGTTCTTTATATAATGTCACGCCGGGAAACCGACTGCGAGCCGGTGTACAGAGGGGAAGGGAAAAGAGATCGGGGTTGGTTGTCACACTGTGTGCACATTTACCGAGGCTGCAGTGAGGATACCGAATGTCTGGCCCGCGTTGATTCTGAGGAAGGAAAGAAGAGAGAAAAAGGAAATCTTAAAGTAAGATTATTGATAAATTATTCCGCGGTCGCGACCCAAGGGAGCTAAGATGTACTTAACTAACACAATATCAGCGTTCTAAGCTCCATGGAAAAGAATGGTCCTCTCTATCAATTTCTTAAGTGAGAACTGAGCTTTCTTGACAATTACACATACTGTGTTAACTTTTAATCCCAGTTTCGCGACGCATCTTCTTTTTCTCTCATATTTTTCTCTTCATATTTTTCGGGGTGAAATTGAGGGTTCCGCAAGAAAAGAGCGCGTGGGGACGAACGGACAAGAAAGGACAACATCCGGGATTTGCCGGCTTATCGTAATTAATGGTCACAACGGGAGACGGTTCATAATCCCCGGTAAAACGTTACGTTAAAAGGGTGTAATCGGATGACGGATCGAAAGTTGAGAACGAAGAGTATCATCAACCGCGCGAGCAAAAAGTTCTTTGTTGCATCTCACTCTCGCGCCCCAATGACTTCTTCTTGTATAATGAAATAGATACACACACACACACAAGGTGTCTACTCACACATTCAATTTGACGACGATAATCCATCCGCGCTTGCCTCGCCACGATTTGAAATATGGATGGCCGAGTTTCAAAGGCGCCGTAGACACACGTCTCTCGTGACTCTCTCCCTCTCTCTCTCTCTCTCTCGCTCTTTGAAACGGATACGCGACGGTCAGTATGAAATATGAATTTCCGATCGAAGGCTCTCCAGAACTTCATATATTGCGGGAGAGAGACTCTCTTTCTGTAAAACGAGATCTAAATGCGCGTATATGAATAGGGGTGAATGAGGGATATCAATATCGACGCGACTAGTTGAATTATCATTGCGCGCTCGAGAGCGCGAGAACGATAAACGTCGTCGTCGTAGCGAGTCGTCGTCTTCGACCCTCATCGCGCGAGCTTTATGCGCGAATAAAATTAATTCGCGGCCGCGCATACCGAACATGTGTATCACTCGCGCGCGATGAAAACACGTGACTCGCGTTTGCCTCAATTTTTTCCGTGATAAAGATGTCACGGTTTTGTTGACTGTAGTTTGCGTTTTCTTGTTTTTGCGTTCGTTTAAATTATAGGCAGTTGTTGCGTATATACATCGTATTGATCGTTTGTGGTGTTGTCGCTCGCGCTCTCTGTGCGCCTATACGTTTTTTCTTGCAAATAATATATTTAAATCTCATGCCGCACGACGAATATTGAACTTAACGGTTAGTCGAATATGCATAGCGAATATATACAAGCGAATATATACAAGCGAATATATATATTCGCGATGTCGCGTTTCCGATTAATAAAGAAACAAAATTAAATAAATAAAATGGTGTTCAAAATAAATAAAAATACCCTTGAATGTATTGAATATTGAGCCCTTTGCACGTTTGGAATAGTTTCACATCATCTGCCTAGCGATATTTATTAATTAAGAAGCGTCAATTTACGTTATTGAAATTATATACAAATCAGGCGAACTACAGTGGAATCCTCGTTTATTCGAACTACTTGAGGCTCAATTATGTACGAACTTCTTGGTGACCCTCTACGAACTTTTGGTGGACCTCTATTTCTTAACCGAACAACTCGGTTATGTAAACTATCTTGTTCCCCGATCAGTTCGGACGAGCAAAGTTCCACTGTAAATAGTGTTCCGTCGAGCGAGCGGTTCAAACGGAAAAATACGAATCTCAATATAACAAATGTTATTCAAGTCAAACGCGGAAAGAAATAAATATTCAGACATCACGTGAGCCGAGGTTTTACCGGTTGAATTATCATCCGCGATAAGATTAATTAATAGCACAGACAGAGAAATGAAGATTTAAAAATTTCATGTATATAAAATTTCATAAACTTTAATAAATTATAAGCATCTCATTGAACTCCGCCGTTCATATATTATCGAACGCTCGAATTTTCGCGTCTGACATATCTCGTGAATGTCTGCGGGAAATTAAAAGCAGCGTGAAATCTTTTCAATTTCCTGAATGACACCTCTCTTCCTTTGTGTGCTAGCGCGGGTAAAAACAGTTTCGTAAGAAATAAAGCTCGTGAAATAACAAGCGAGATTGCTTAATAACTTCCCCTGATTTGCGTAGGCTCACGAAAGTTCGCACACGTGCGAACGCTCGCGTTCGTCGGCTCGAAAGAAGTTCCCCGAACTTTATTTGGGAAAGTTTGTGCGTGTAAAAGAGAGAGAGAGAGAAATATGTGGAAGAGGGATGTTTGTGTTGCCACATGAATGTCGTGCTGAAAATTTAATGAAAACTCGGAGATGTTGCTGATGGCCAAAACTTTTGCGACGTTTATATCCCATTACATTGGGCTCGATCGCGGAACGCGATGAAAATCTTGTTTCCTGGTTGATGACAATTTTGTTTTTTTTTGACTTATTATTTAACACAACGAAAAAAGAAAAAAATTCGAAGGACGTTTATCGATTACAAAGCAATTCATTTCCTGTTAAACGTTAGAACTTTGTTCTGTCTCATTGTATAATACTTGGTCTCA